GTTATAAAGATGCAATAAATATGTTCTACATATTTGAATTCAAATTTTCTATACACTATGTAGATTTCCAAAAATATAATCTGTTATACCAGTATTAACCACATTAAATTATTGAAAATTTTAATTCCATTTTCCTATTATATATACAAAATAACTTAAAATTATATTGAAAAATTTCATTTTTAAATAAATTTTTGCATATATATAATTTTTAATTCTCGAAATTATAACATTGTTTCACAATATGAAATATTATTGTGAATATCATATATATATTCATTTCCAATTATTATAATTAATTTAAAATGTAACTTTGTATGTAAATAGTTACATTTACATAAAAGAATTATTAATGTTAATTCAATATTCATATACAATGTGTATGTTGTTTTAACTTACCAATTACATAAATATTATGTATTATATAGATAGTATTATATGGAAAAGGCAATGGTAATTTCAAAGCTGAAGTACTTAAAATTGAAAAAAAAAGAATCTATTAATAATAATATCCTTGAATGCGCGACATGAATATCCTCTAAAAAATATCAAAAAAAATTGAAAATTTGATTAACATTATCAAAATTTTATATACGAATTCAATTTTAAAAATTGCAAATATATTGCACTTTTTCTGTGAATATGTGTAAGATTATTGTAAATATTTTACGATATTTGGTGTATAGAATAATTATACATATATGGAATATATATATGCACAATAATATTTTATTGATATTTTGTAACCACAAATCTATAAGTGTATAAATTGTTATATTTCTAATGAAAATTCACAAATTATAATTTCATATTTTTGTTCAAAATCTATAATTTTTTAACAATTTAGGGGAAATATACAGAAAATTCATATTTTAGAACAAAATATGGTAAAAATTTCGAATATCTTATATAACAAATTAAATTTCAATCTATAATACAAACTAAATTTTGACGATTAAACTGTCCTATATAACTGAGAGATGGTTAAGAGAAAATTTAAATATTAAAATTAATTTATTTAAGATCATTTGAGATTTATATCAAGGGTTCATTAGGAAAAAAACCCTCTATATCAAATTTTAAAAATTTTGAAATAATTTTGAAAAAATTCGAAAATTATACTCATTGCACCTTCACTACTACTCATACTGCACAAATATGTAGATTGTTAATTAAAAGAAAGATTCCTTATTTTTCAAAATATTACAGTGTAATTATGAATTTGGTATGAGTGTTTTAAATTAATTGCAATATATTGTAAAAATGTTTCTTATATTAAACCCATCCCCATAACCCATCAATAAATAAATATCACAAAGTGCCATGAATTATTTAAAAAATTTAAGACTTTCTCAAATTTTCCAACAAAAAATTTCAACACAAATTAAAATTCCATGCTTAATAAACACTTTAACAGAACACAAGAAAACTTTTTCTCTTAAGGGCATATATTTTATATAACATATATGTGAAAGCTCAAAATTAATAATAATTTTCATACGTCCAATTAATATTATTAAAATCTTAATAAATTTTATAATACCTTCCATATTATTATTTAATAAAAATTTAAATTACAATTATTGTCCAACGCTAATTTATAATTTCATTTTGCCTTTTATCATTTAAAACAATTTCGTGAAAAAATTATTTTTTATTGGAAAATTTAATTATCAATTTTTTTTCCCCCCTACTATCCATTTTTTTTTTTTCAGAAACAAAAAAAACTGCATTAATTTTTTAATAAATCTACCTTGTAAAAATGTAAAGTTTATGGTTCGTTAATTTGTAAATTAAACACGTTGTAAACATTAATTTTTCTCGCATCAAAAATTTTTTTATTAAAAATTATTATACGATAAATCAACTTAAATAATAATTGAAGGGAAACAAGTAACAAATATTATAATAAAAATGTTACAAATTATTAATGAAAAAAAAAATTTAATAAATTTTTTAATAATTTGTAACAATTTTATTACATATTTCGTGTGAAAATATTTGTAGCTATTGAATATATGTATGTAAAATGTTTTAATTTACAATGTTACAGAATAAAATATTAATGATAAGAAAAAAATATAATAATCTATATATGGCAAATAAATGAAATTGTTATACTCAAATCGATAATAATCACGGACATTATGAAAATTTAATTAAAAAAAAAAATTATTTTTAAGAATTAATAAATTTTATGGAAACCATAAGGATTTATAAAATTTAATATTTTTCAATTATATTGATATGCTGCCCTACATTTACTCAAGTATACTAAATATTATTTAGCTGTAAACACACATACATACATATAAGGAAAAAAAATCTTTAGTGTATTTCTTGATTTGAAAATATCTTTAGTGTGTTCATTCCAGAAAATTAGAAACACAGTACTTTTTTGCAGCGCTACCAGCTTTATATAATATTGAGAATCATATAATCAGATTAAAAAAAAAATTGACTTTGAGCAACTATTTTCTAATTTATTTACTTTTATAGTTAGCTTTTAATTCCAATCTTGTGGAAAAAAACTGCATTTTCAGGAATACCCTTTCAAAAATATTAACGAGTTTGTATTGGAGGAATGCATTAATCTGAACTAATAAAATTTTGTCTGAACATACTAAATTTAATTCGTAAATATTAACATTGCTCAATTTTCTATAATTGAGCAATGTTAATAAAAATTCGTAAATATTATCGTAAAATCAAACGCTGACTGTAGCACAAAGTAAATCAAAGGAGTTTTTATTCTCATAATAGTTAATTTTTATCATAAATTTCGTATAATAATGAAAAGTAGTTTATTGGTTTAATCTCACTCCCAAAATTTTTGATTTTTTGTTAGAAATGTACATAAATTATATTCCGTCCTTTTTTTGCTGCCTAAACCCAAAATGTAATTTTTTCCAGTACAAAAGTTCGGTCTAACACATATTTCGGCAAAAATTTTGGTATTGAAACTTAGACCATTTTGCTTCTGAGCCCCTCAATTTAAGTTATTACAAAAGATTTTAAATTCCTTTATTAGATGCAAAAAAGTATTATGCAAAATTTCCTTATGCAAAAAAGTGAAAAATTTCAAATGAATTGATACCAAGCACAACCAAATTTCATGATATTTTCGTCCTAATCATACAATTTCACACAATTTTCTGTGTTCTTGGTATTACACTTATTTCTCTACATACTATGCTAATATAGTTCTTAACAGAACATATTTGAATTTCGTTATGCTCGCTACAATACTTAATGCTTAATAAAACATAAAAACTTGATAAGAACTGGTTAGATGATAAACAAAAAAACACGTGTTATACAACATCCGAAATCAATTTAGTACAACATCTTCATTTAGATTTAAAAAACAAAAATATTTTTTCCTTACTCATAAAAAAGGGAAAACATTCTTCAAAAGACTTGAAATTTTTATTATTTTTTTTACCTTTGGTTTAATTTTTTTTTTTTTTTTTGTGATAAGTTTTTCAATCCTACAAATTTCTTTTTAATCCTTCAACAAAAATAACAAGAAGAGATACAAAATAACAGGATTATATTGAAATTTTATTCATTTCACATTTACTTAGTGCACGTACCCATATTGTATTGTATGTAGTATAAAGTAAATTCATCCGAAGTCATAGTTGTTATACCAATTTTTACTTTGTTTTTATAAGGTATTTTACTCTGAAACAAAAATAAAAATCCTTTTTAACTTAAATACAAAAGATAATAAAAGTAAAATTCAAATACAATGTCGTATACACACATAAAAGGTAACACAGAAAATGAAAACATTTTTCAAACGCGTTAATATGTTCCTTTATTAAATCTTTTCCCTTTTCTTTTTCAAAAACACAAGAACAAAGAAGAAAAGGTGTACTTAATTTGAAAAAAAAAAAAAAATAAACATTTAAATCCACGTATAAGGTATTTTATGTGAAGAAAATTTTATACACATCAAAAGTGTAATGGTGTAATGTCGAAGTCCTTTTTTATGTTAAAAAAAAAATACCGTAACAACCGGCTTTAAAAAATGGTACATGTATGTAGGTAAATTGTTTCATTTTTTTTTTGAAAAGGATTAAAATACAATTTTGAAATTATGTTCCAATTTTTTTTGTTTTGCCTTTTTTTCAAAAGTTAAAAGAAATGAAAATTAATTGAAATTATTTAATAAGTACCCATATGTACAAAAGAATGAATAATATAATTGAAATATTTTATATAATATTAAAAGAAAAATAACAATTAAAGAAAAATTATGCATGAATACAATCTGAATTGAAATAATGAGCATCATATTATCCTTATTAATGTAATCATCATACAGTAATAAATTAAGAAAAACAAATGCTAATTTGCTAATTATTAATATTAAATGAGTAGACAGGGTACATTAAATATGAATGATAAATCACAAATTATTTCATATATAATTAATTGTTTTTATATACATATTTTTCTATTTTAATAGAAGTTGAAAATTTTGAATACTGTAGTAACTACATTAATATTTTGAGTATAAAATGTACCTATACTTATAAAATGTGTGTTTTTTAATATGAATAAAAGCATTTACATAAAATAAAAATAATAAAATCACATTACAGTACTATAATTTATTTTATAATATAAAATATGATTATATTTATCATACATTAATAATTCATAAGAGCAAAATCTCACAAGACATGGTAACTCAACTTAATAGAACATAAGTTTGAAGTTCATATAGTTATAATTTAATTTACTTTTGAGCAATGTAATCTGCAAGTGTAATAGTTTTTTGGATTCCTAATCTACTATCATATTAAAATTGAAAAATTCATAATAAATTTATAAATGATTCTGTTGATTAAAATAAAATTGTAATCAAATTTAAAATTTGGAGGTGACTATATTAAGAAATTTCTTTTTCTTTTTATTTAAAAATTTTAATACCCTAAGACATTCTACAAAATTTTAAGATATATTTCAATTCATCAATATTCTTTTAATATTCTTTTTTTTAATATTTTCTAATTGCCTAGCATTTTTAAATTGCTCTCAATAAATTATAAATGACCATCGTATATTTCATATGAATTATTTCTACTTTTGAAATCGCGCATTGATAGTGCTTTAAAAAAATTTTACATAAAAACTTTAAAGTGCTTTACTTAATCTCTATTATTTACATGTTACATACACATATTTTAACATATCTACATGTATTTCTATTCAGTTGTTTAATTTTCAATTAAATAGAGTTTAAATTAAGGAAAAAAAATTGTAATAAAAAAAAATAAAGTATTTCAGTTACTTAGCAATTATTTATTTAGTTATTAAATTGGATGTGTTTTAGTTGCATATATATATATATATATATATTATATAATGTGGATTAAAGTTCTTCGGAAGAGAATATCTCTCCTGTAGCAGTAACATCTGGTGTCCAACATTTTGTACCTAAAACTGGTGGAATATCTGATGGTAATTTTGTTGGTTTAGATGGACATTTTGGATCTAAAATTAAAAACACAATTAGGAACAAAATTTATTTATTTGATTACATTTGGTTATATTATATAATACTTATTTAACCTTCTAAAATCCATACACCTGTATTATCCATTGTTCTAATACCAATAAAATTAACAGTTAAATTAAAATTTTCTGGTTTTAATATTATCATTGGTTTAATATCACCCTGTCGTCCAATTTTATATACTGAATCATACCAACTAATCCAATAACTAATAAATTCAGTTTCATTTAATGGAATATTTGTTTGAATTTGTTGTTGTACAGCAGCACCATCAGCATTTGCAGCAGCTACTTGTAAATCATCTGATGTAATTTTTATTATAACTGGTATATCATTTTGTGTTCCATCCAAATTTGTTTGTTTTATTAATATTTTTGATGAATTAACTGAACTTGTTATATTATCACAACAACCTAATATAAATTCCATCATTGGTTCAGCTTTAATTGGCATTGTATTTAATGATATCCATGCATTTTTCTTTGAACGTATTTTAAACATAAAACAACTTTCATCTCTTATTATTGGAAAATATTGATATTGTTCATTATCTGGTGTATTAATTACTTTAAAAATATATATTTATATTATAATTTAATATTATAAATATTATGTTTAATTAAATATTAAATTAAATATTTAAACAAAATATATTAATTATAATATTATGTCATCTACATTTATATGTATATATAAATTACCTTTAGTTTCCATTGTAACAATAGGCCTATCAATTTCACTGATATCTTCAATAATAATTTCACAGTGTATAATATCACCAACAAATAATTTAATTGAACTATCTAAAATTTTTAATTGGCTATTATATTTTTTTAAACGTTTTGTTGTTTCTTCTTCACAATTTTGTTTTCGTGATTTTTTATCAAGTTTAATACAATTAAAATTATGAATTATAGATAAAATAAATAAAATTTGTAAAAACCCATTATAATTCATTTTTATTTGATTTATTAATTTACAAGTAAATTATTTTTCTCGTAATCCAAAATTTAACCTTTATTTAATGAAATTTAAATTATAACTAGACTTGAAGAAAAAATCATCTCATTCTGAAAGATTAATACATATTTTTTTTTGTTAAGACCTAGCTATTCTCTGATTTTAATTTTTAAGAATATTGTTTCGAAAGCTTTCAGAATCAACATAATTTAATGCATATAAGAAAATAGAAAAAATAAAAAAAAGAATTGATGTATTGAGACAAGTTATTGTGGAAAATTATACAAAAGATTTATCACGTTTTATAAATTTATTATAGAATAATTTCTTTAATTTAATGAGGGATTGAAATTATAATAATGAATATTGTATTCAATAAATCTTTAAAGAAAAATTACAATGGCGCTTGAAATTAAGAGATACATATATATTTTTTTAAATCAAGAAATATTTTAAAAATATTTTATTTACTTGTTATTTTATAAATAAATTCAATAAAAAAAATTCAGGTAAATTTTATTTGTAAGAGATTTCTCAAAATAAAATTATGATTGTTCATATTTTCTTTACAATTAAATGAATTATGTATATCTGGACAGCCTATAACATCTCTCTTTCAATACGTTTCAAACAATACCATTTGCTATATAATAGCACTCAGAAATAAATTTTCGAATGTTTGACAAAACTTTTTCTATCTCTTACATATAAATTAAATTTCTTTAATTTTTTCTATATTTCAAATATTTAAATAAAAAATAAACATTTTATTTATTTTGCAGTTTTTCGTTTTTTTTTACTTTATTTTTCTTTCTTTTTTAATTTTCCATTTTATATTTAATTTTTGGCCAACTATAATACATTTTTATTTAAGTATAATAATAATAATAATTGTAATAGAAAATTTTTTCGTTTTTCTTTTTTTGGATAAGTAATTAAAATGATTTTACAAAAAAAGATGAAATATTTTTTTCGAGGAAAAGGTATTTTTTTTTTCTATGAAAATTTTATTATAATTCGAAAGTGTATTTTTTTCAACATTTAAGGAAACTTATTCTGCAGTTTCTCTCTTGTTCCAGTTTAAATTAGCAAAATTATTAATTTTAATGTAAAGAATTCATTTCTATACATTTAATATTGACTATTACATTTTAAAACAATGCATTAATGTAAAAAAATAATTTTTGCAAATAATTTTATGTTTCTAAACAAAAATTAAAAAAGAAACCTCCACCAATTAAACAAATTTTTTTTTTTGTAAATGCGTTATATACGATATTATGAGTTCTTTTTAAATTTAATTTTTTTTTGAAAAATTTGCTGAAAGCCTAATATTTCTGAAATAAAATTACAAAAGTAAAAATTACATAAAAACATCAAATAACATTTAATAATATATAATATTTTTTATGTACTAAATAAATTAAATAATTAAATTAAAATCAGTTATAAGAAAATAACGCAAATAGGAAATTTAGTACTCATCCATTTTTGTTAAATATTTTATAACAAAAATTAAGAATTTGTTTTTCATAATAAATTACAATGTTTAAATGTATAATAATGTATGTTAATATATAGAAGTAAAAAGAAACTAATTAATAATGTTTTACAAATAGTTTCCAGCAAATAACATAACGTTATAAATAAAAAAACATTTACAAATAGAAAATAAAATCAAATTTAAACAAACAACTGAAAACGTTAAATTTTAATTGTTTTTATAAAACTAAACAAAAATAAGATATTAAAGTATAAAATATTTTAATCTGTCACACAATATTGCACTAGTAAGCTACTTTTTATATTTTGATATCACAAAACCCAAAATCAATAATTTTCTAAAATCCTAACACAACCAATCGATGACTATGGAATTTTCTATTTTGCTGCTTCATACTTTCTTTTAAATTACTTTATAGCAATTATTATGTAATAGTTTTTGATTTATAATATAATAAATGTTTTACAAAATATATTAAATAATATTATTGTAATATACATAATAAATACATTTAATTATTATTTTAGTTTTATTGTTACTTTGATAATCAAGTGTAATTATTAATTCAGATCCTTGTTATAATATCTGTTTTAAGTTAATATTTCACTATTGTTATTCATTTTTAATCAATTAACAATCACATTATGTATATACTGTTTAGGAATAAATTTTACCATGACATTATAATAACTTAAAACAAGTATCCAAAATATTAACATAAACATTTATACATTAAAATAACACAATTAAAAGCTAAACATTTTATTTAAAATTAAATATTTTCAAATTAAATTAAATTTTTTCCCACAAAAAAAAAAAAAAAAATAAATATATGTACAAATATTCTTATATACACATATAAGTATGGATGTCTTAATATTTTTGAAAAATTTCTCGATCTATTTTTTATTTTAGTTTTATTTTATTTTCAAATTATAACATATTATAAGCAAGAAATAAACAAATGTTTAAAAAAAAAAACAAAAGTTTTAAAAAATTAAAATTGAATTTTAAAAGAATATTACTTATTTTTATACATTAAAATTATTAAATGCATCCAATTTCAAAGTTAAAGAAAATTATTGTTTAAATCATAAAAGCTGCCGTATTTTAGGATTATTATTAGATGTATACATTGTACAATACAAAAAATTAAACAAAAATATTAGACAATTCTTAAATATCTAGAATATGTACGTATAACGCATAGAATACACAATTTAAATTAATAATAATAAAAAACATAAACTTATCAAATTAATTTTGTGCCTCTTTTAAATAATGCTGATTGAATAATTATAATAAAGGTACAACACAATACATTTACATATATATATTTTTAAAAAAATTTAATTTAATAAAAATATGAATTTATTGACATCAAAGAAATATGATTTAAATTATTTAATAAATTATTTTGCTTCATTTAAAATAGTATAAGTATTATATTACACAATTTCATATTAAAAAGAAATTCTTAATTGAAATTATTTAATATTTTAAGAATTATATTTGATTTATTTTATATTCGTGTAATACATTATGCCAAAATACTTACATGATTTACATTGATTTTTCGATTTTTGTTTTTTTTTTCTCAGTTTCTTGTTAATTTCAAATAGATAATCGATATGTGTTTATACATTTTATTCTGTATATTACATTTATGTATTACATGTGATTTATTTATTTTAAAAAATACAAAAAACCGAAACAATAGAAGAATCAAAAATAATTTTTGATCGAGAATATTAAAATATCAATTTTTGTTTTTCTTATTTATTAATGAGCTGTTTTCAAATTTAAAATCTTTACTAAGAAAATTTTTTTTTTATTTTTTTTTTTTATTTATTATTTTTTGGTTTTTATTTTAATTAGCATTTATTTCGTTTAATTCTTAACAAATTTTGGCATTAAATCAAGGCAATATAGAATTTTCTTTTTTACCTACACATCTAGTTCTTTTCTTGTTTAAGTATCTTGAAAATACAAAAATGATAAAAATTTTATATTAGTTTAAATATCTTTGAGCACTATTGGTTATAAATTGAATTTCTTATATAAAAAGAAGAATTTTATTTATTACCAAATTTGCTTAAAATTTTTTTTTTTTAAAACAAGCCGCAATCATTTTTATAAACATCTATATAACAATTTCGTTTGAATATTTTTTCTTTGTAAATTTCATATTTTTTTTAAAAAATTACTTTAAATAAAAAAAAATAAAAATATAATTTTATTATATCGCAGGATCAGCTAAATTAGTACGACTATTTGAAAGTGTTACATCATCTTCGTCTAATTGATAATGTGTTGAATGATTTTGTTCAATTAAAATATTTTCGTGTTGTTTTAATTGCTTTTGTTGCAATTTTTCATCTGGCACTATATTTTTTTTATGTGTTCGTTGCTGTTGCTGATGATGCTGTTTGCTTTGATTGACTAAATTATTTGTCATATTCTCATCCTCATCTTCCGTATGTTGTGGTGATACTCTAATCGCTTGATACCATTTATTTGTTAAATCAGCCATTTGACTTTTACAATCATGTAGTTCTTGACTTGTAAAACGTCTTGTAAAGAATGGAGTAAAATATTTACGATCAATAACTCCAAACCCAATACCACCTTGTACTTTCGCAAATGTTACGTCTTCTTCTTCTGTCAATTCAGATAAATGTTCGGAATCGATTGCATTGCCCCATTTTCGTGTTTTACTTAGAGAAATTTCTTTACGTCTTTTCGAAGATATATTACCAGGACCGCCACGTCTTCGACTGGAACGGCGTAATTTTTTACCTGGTTGTAAATATTTTAACAGAGGCATTGTTGACCCACCGAAGAAAAGTGTTGTGAATAATACAATTATTAGTGTAGTTGTTATAATAACATGACGACTTTCCACACTTGATAACTCTAAATGTAATGATAATGCATAGGAAATAGCTCCTCGTAAGCCAGAAAACCACATTATAAACTGCATTTTATTCGTGATTTTATGTTCACGAAATTTATTTACTAAAAATGCTAATGGAAATATATTACATGCTCTACCAATTAAACATAGTATTATAGACCAAACAACTAGTGCCATCTCGACTTGATGCTTAAAAGAAAATATGGCTAATCCTAAATAAGCAAACACACAAGTTTCCGCTATAAACGATAAAGTTCTCATTGTTTGTTGCATTGTTATTTGAGTTACTGTAGATAAGTTGAAATGAGTATAGTGAGACATTACAATACCACAGAAAAGTATAGCCATTATTCCAGAAAGGTGTATTCCTGAATAATAGAAATAAGAAAAATTGATTAGAAAGCAAATAAAGCCCAGAGTAAACACTGAATATAATTGAGTTATATTATGTAGTTTCCGTGGTGTAGTGGTTATCACATCCGCCTAACACGCGGAAGGTCCCCGGTTCGATCCCGGGCGGAAACACACTTTTTTTTTCTCCTAAAAAATTTATAAATAAAGTAATAATTGCCTAGCCAAATATGATGTTTTTTTTTTGTTCTTTTATATTTTTTCAGCGTTTCATTTCTTAAATGAAAAACAAATCTTTCATTAATTAATGGGAAGCTCTTTTTTAAAAAGCCATATATTATGAAAATTTAATTCTTCATAATATACGGCTTATAAGCCTCAGGAAAATCTTTTCTATTTAATCCAATGCATATCGGTATGTTCTAATTTTAGTTGCAATTTTAACCACGGTATATCTAATTATTTTCAATTAAATTGGAGTATCCAATTTAAATTTGGAATAACTCAACGAAACTTTTAGTTGCAGATTGATAAGCTTCTGAATAAATCTTTAAAATGCTTGCAAATAAACTCTGAGAAACAAGTTTTGAATAAACTCAATTTCATTTTATTCGCAAATGTTATATATTAAAGTTCTTATAAAAACGAAGGACTTTATATTAACTCTATTTTTCTAACAAAAAGCGCAATATTTATATTGAGCTGGAAATGATAAAAAAAAAAAAAAAAAAAAAAAAAAAAACAAAAAGTGTGTTTCCGCCCGGGATCGAACCGGGGACCTTCCGCGTGTTAGGCGGATGTGATAACCACTACACCACGGAAACCACATAAAAATATTACCTCCTTATTCAATTTAAATGTTTTACTAAACACATACATCATTCTATACTTATAAATTACAAGGTGTTTATTAAAATAATTTACTTACCTTCAGCCAACACGTAAGGAGCATAAGTAAAAACAAGCATCATTGCAAATTCTAAGGACGGATGTTTTCTCAAATCAATATGTTTCAACAATAAAGCACTAATCAATGCAAATACTACGCCAATTCCAGCCGAAGCAAAGAACATCGCGCAAAAAGTCTGTAAAGCTTTCATAATAGCTTCACTCGTTGAAGCTTGTGCATAAGCTAAAATTACGCACTTTTTTATTAAATATATTTTCATACATAAATCTAACTGAATTTACCTGGACTATTTGCAGCTGCACTTATGGTTGTTGTTAGAACAATTGATATGGCATCATTTAATATACTTTCCCCAAATACTAACATATTAAGAACAGGATCTACATCTAAAGCATGAAAAATAGCAACGGTTGCAACCGGATCAACTGCTGATATCTAAAAAAAGAACACGTTTTAAGTTAAATCTCTGTCATTTACGAAAAATGTTTAAGTTTTACCAGAGATCCAAATGCGAATGATTCATAAAAATTTAAACGATAAGCAACTTCTGCAATTCCTAGCAAATATATACCAGCTCCTATTACTAAAGCTGATATCGTTGTTCCAAATATTGCAAAAACCAAAATCGAACCAATATTTTGAAAGAAATTACCCTTATGTAAATTATAACCTGATTCAAATATAATTGGAGGTAACAAAACTAAAAAAAATCCAGTTGGGGAAAAAACTTCTTCCCTTTTCCATGATGAACGATTATCATCAACGAAAATTTTTAATGTTAGACCAATAAGGGCTCCCAAAAATACAACAACAATACTTTCTGGTAAATATTGAAAACCAGTTTGTAACATCATATGAATTAATAATATCCCCAGTGCTATCACACATAATACAAAGAAAATTGATAATGAACTATTGTGTTCATTTTCAACGGCTTTTGAATCTGGTAGAGCTTGCTCTGTAGATGGTGCAGTTGTGCTATTTATAATAATTTTTTTCTCAACTGATGAGGATATCGTAGACGATGAAACGGAATTTTCATTTACTTCCGAAGGACTGACAAGAGTACTAGTTTTTTCATTTGTTTCTACTTTAGTTGCATTTCCAACAATCGCAGACGAATTAATTTTGCTAGAATTACTAGTATCAATAATTGATTGTAATAATGTTGATGGTGTACTAGATGTTGAAATTGGTTTTATATTCTCGGTTTTATCAGAAAATATTTGCCCGAATAAAGGGATGAATAATAAAAGTAAAAATAAGTATCTGACCTTGAACTTAAACATCTTTTCGTTTTTCTTCATAAGATTTTGAAACACAGCTTCTTGCTAGAATTTTCTTGATCTAAAATAAAGCACACATTAATATCTAATAATTGAAAATTAATAAAAACTTATTTACGAAAATATTTCTAATTTATTTTAATAAAATAAATGTGTTGCTAAATCGCCGTTCTTGACATTTTTTTATTTGTTAGTATTTCTTTTTATTCTATGCTTTTTCTTGTAAGTTCTAAAAATACGTCAGCTTATTCTTATTTATTTAATTATTCGATATTTGAAGTGTTGTTTTCGAAAACAATTGTGACAGTGTAATAACGTTGCCAGATTATAATTATTTTTTCGCATCAACCAAAGACCTGTCAACTGGTCTGTACGGTTTTATTATTAGTAGTTTGATTATATTTTATACTATTTTAGGGTTTTCCCAAAAAGAAAATCCAATTAAACTAGAATAAAAAAGGGCAACTTTTGTATTTTCCTTAACTCCAAATTTCTTAACATTAAATATTTTATCGGCAAAGTTCAAAAAAAAAATCAGATGACTGTATTTGCGTAATTGAAAGTTTTGACATTCACACACCAAATATATTACATTATATTCTTAATGATTGGCGCGCCACCTACATTTTATAATAAAATTAATAATCACAGGTTTCACTAACTAAAACGAATGAGCTTAATATTTCGGTACTTTTTTTCGGTTACTTTCTTAACGGTAATTTTTTATTAACTGTTTAATTTATTGTATTATAGTTATGATCGTAGCTGGCGTGTATTAGAAGAAACTATATAAATAATTTTATTCATTACGTAGTATTTAAAATACATATGTACTCAAAATTACTCAATAATTTTGTGAGTCATATAATATGACAATTACTATTGAAATTACAATATTGTCACAAGATAAGCATATGTTCGGCTAAGCGCAACTGACGTTAACATAAGCTATCCCTTATATGCTAGCGTTTGTTTAAATCAATTGTCAAAGTCTCGTAACTCGATGTTCTCGCGTTAATAAAATTTTCGACAATTTTTTGGCAAATTACCAACATTTTTTTTTTAATTTTTTTTTTTTTTTACTTTTTGCTTTATGTTTTGTGGCTTAACATTTAATTTTTTGCTATTTTTCGTTGTAATTTGTTTAAAACTTAAAGAAATGGAAGAAGAAAGTCAAGACAAAAGTAAGTAATAGCAAATAAACAAAGTTATTTAATATAACAAAATATTTTTGTAATTCAGGTGGACACAAGCACCTGCTTCGAGCTGTGGGATTTTTTGGAGATTAATTTGAATACAACCTTCTTTAATTAAAAATTTATTTTATTTTTATTTCTTCGCAAACTTTTTATCTTCTTTTTCTCCAACTCTAATATATTATAAAATAAAACTGAAATGATTTTTTTTATACATTCTTTTTGTTGCACACTTCATGTTAGTTATTCGACTCAAAAAAATATCACAAAAGTCAAACTGCGAAAAGGTTATAAAATTTTAAACAATTTATAATAAATATTAAGAATAACTTACAGTGACAAAAATACAATGACCTTAAAGTTTAAAAAAATATAAACTGCTGCATGAAATCGCATATTTTACTTGAATTGCATATTATTTATGTAATTATTGAATCATTCAACTTGATTTCTCAAACTATTATAGAGACAATGATATAACATTTTTGAAACAATTATAGAATTTTACTGATCTTCAATACTCTATTAACTTTTTCTTTATTATTTTTGTTTTATACTGATTTTTACATAAATACTGATAATTAGTTGCTCCTAATAATTTTAAGTAAAGTAAAATGAATTTCAAAAAGCATTCTACTTATTATCTGTATTATTATTATTACAAATAATATACAGTATTAAAAATATAGACTCACTAATTTATAAAATATATATATTGGTATATTGAACTATTTTCAATATTCTTCATTAGAAAATTGATTTATCATATTATTTTGTCAGGTACGATAAATTATTTCAAAAAAGTTTTGAAATTGTTATTTAGTTGTCTGTAGTACTCAATTGTTTTTTTAGATTAGTGCAGTACTTTATAAAAACGATATAAGTACGTAGTATTCAAGCTTAAATTTATAGATGATAACTATATTTACTCGAAGCCTTTTCCAATAATGATCATCCGACATAATATGTAGGCTTCCTTCCTTTTTTTCCGCAACCATTGTTGCAAAACCGTGTAAACACGAGTATATACAGATAAATTTCAATTTAAACTGTCATGAATGAAAATATAATATCGCAATTAAATGTGTATATCATCTTTGTCCTAAATTGAATGGTACAAGAGAGCACTATAAAATAAATTACAAATATACATAAATAGTCTTGCAACTTTGTTGCTTATCTATAGATTACCAGTTTTAATTGCAGAATCGTGTTGAGCAATAAAATTTTATTGTTATTTTAAAGTTACGGAACTTACCATAATGATCATGAGATAATTATTGATATTTCCACAATAAATATACGAGTACCTATACTTACTTAAAATTGTAAGTATATAATATTTGTAGTGACTTCCGAAACACCATAAATGTTCATATCAATATACTCTTATCAATTTTCATAGCAGAGCAAAATCCTTAAAATATTGTTTAATAACAATAAAAAATGAAATAGATTTGCCGATTTAAATCAAGATCCTACTCTAATTTTTATTCTTAAAATTATGACATTGCAATTTTTAGAAAATTACTTTACATTTTTCTTTAATAAAACGAAATATGAATTTTATGATTTTTTTTTCTGTTAAACAAGTAAATCACGTTAATATCAGTGAAACATTAATGCACGGGTGCGCACATAATAAACAATTCAAAATAAAGATGAAGTTGTTTTTTTTATATTTTAATCATTCAATAATAAATTCTTTTTTGTTTTAATTTTTTGTATTCAATTTAATTATTATTGAAAAACAAAATTTATCAGATTAATATTACATTGTAAGCAAAATCAATGGAAATTAAGTAGGTACATACTTATATTAACAGATGTCGTTGATACAAATATAAACACATACGTATACAGGTATAAATTCGTATATATTATGTACATGTGTTTTCTTAAAAAATTAATATTATTACATGTAAAATAATAATAAAATTGAATGTTATGTAAAATTGTATGTTGAACTTTAATTTAGATATGCCATAATTATGTATACTACAATTTTTCTAAAATAGGCTTCGATATTATTATGTTTAACGTGTGTTGCATATCGTAATCAACGTGGGTATCGTAATTGTATTTACAATTATTTACATTTCCCTTACATTTGACTGCCAATTTTTGCAATCATTTCGTAATTTGATTAGAATTTTGTGTTTTTATAAATTTTTATTAATATTTTAAACAATGTGCATGTTTTTCATTAAACTATTGGATGATATTTGTTCATAGTTTTAGTAGCTTAGCAAATTTTACACAAAAGTGACACATTTATCGTTACGTCGTTTATTCTTCAAATTGATTATGTTATGTAAAGTTACAAATATTCTTTGACAATTAATTTTCCAATTTGTGTAGGGGTTAGTAATTTTATATTAATATACATGGATGTACATATATATACTCGTACATATTTTGACATAATGAAAATGTCTGTCAGCCGTGATATATGTATATACCATACATATATTGTAAAACTTGTAAAAAATTACATTTTAACATTGTCAATTTCATTATTTTCGCTATTTAGATTGTTACGTCAAAGTTTTAAATTCTTATACATAGATAAGGTTATGTACATACGTTATGTACATAATGTTATACATATAAACATTGTTTATATTATGTTTTTATATTATTGCGTGTTTTTTTTTTTTTTACATTAAAATTAAGTATCAATCAAGTTCAAGAAAACGATTTTTTTCTTAATAAAGAGATTTCATATCAAAATAATATTGTATAATGTACATATGTATATATACATTGTTATAAAATATTATTTGATGTTTACAAGGTCTTAATTTCGAAAAGATTTGAGAGTAATTATGAAACGAGAATTTTATATTTTCCACAAGTTTATGAATATGAACACGTAAAAATTAATTTAATTTCGAAATTAATTAAAATGTGATTATTTTATACCTACATATACAAAGGTAGGTATATTATTTACGATTGTTTTTTTTTTGGCAGGAGCATATTATAACATTTCAAACTATATACACCTGCAATACGGAACAGTCCTGAGCAAGTGTTTAACTCAGAAATTGATTAGTTTAACTTAAAAACATTTATAAATATGCGTTACTAGATTTATTTCAGCATTCTTAGCTATTTTATAGTATACTGTTGTAATTTTTAGTGTTATACTCAGAAAGTGTTTACATTTGCAATTGTTATATGTGTCAATACGTTTTAAAATAGGGTTCTAAATTATTGTTTTTCTTTAAATAGAACATAATAGCAAAATTTATGGCGAAAATTAAATTTATTTGTTTAGAAAGTTTTTTAAAATTTTAAATTAAAAATTATTTAAAATAAAATATATACATATATATATTATATATTTACAATTTTCTTCTCCTCCTTTCTCTCTCTTCTTACAACTATATACAATGTATGAAATAAATTTCACTTACAAATATTTGCGTTGAATTTTAATAATAATCTAAATATTTTATTTAAAATATTGTTTTTTTTTTATTAATTTTATAAAATAATATTATGTAGGCAATAATATTAATTTTTTTTTAATATTGTCATATTTAATTATGATTTATTTTCAAAAAATAATTTAGAAAAAAAAAAACATTTTTTTTAATTCTTTTTTAAATACCACTGATAAAAATTTCTAGTTCATATTATTATTAGCTTTTTTTTGTAGCATGATCAAAAAAGAAGAAAAAAAAAATTAATAAATATTAAAAAATTGATTTTAGAAAATTTCGACCATATGGACCATATGGTTTTTTTTTTTTGTGTTTGATTAATAATTTCTTTATTTATTTACTTTATTATGATTATCTTAACATATATTTTTTAAAAATATTAAATTCCATGGGTCATTTATTATGAAATATAATCATATATAGACGTCATTCATCACAATTTTGTTGAATGTACATATATAACAGCAAGAATAACAAAAAATGCCGAAAAAAATGAAAAAAAAAATATTTTTTTTATTCACGAATTTGGATTTTTTAAAACTTTTTGATATTTTACAAGAAATCGGCAAAACAACATAAAAACAAATTTTTATTCTTTTTAA